AACATAAGTTTCATCACTTTCTGAAATCTATGTTGCCTTCTCCATGAAGAGAGGCATTTCACATAAGCCACATAATAAAATGGGATGCAGGAGACATTGAAACAGTGGAAGTAGCTTGAATGTGGTGGACAGCAAACCACTTAAAAGCTGTTTCATTTTAACAGGGACAGATGTCAGGACGCTGGTAAAACATCTTCATCTCCTTCCTCCAAAGCGTCTCCTTCCCTTCTCATCTTCACTCGGACATAGACTTCTCCCACATTCTGCCCTATTAACTTGATCCTAGGTAGGACAGGAACTCCTCTGGGGAGGGGCCTCTCATTCCATGCCGCTCACTCACACTGCAGCTTATGGAACATGCTTATTCTGTGGACACTGAAAGGACTGAGAATGTTCAGAATTTAGAGAAAGAAGAGAAGAAATGAGAGGTTCTAGACAGTCAAACTTCAAACTTGAAAGTTCACTTATTTCAAAAACATCAGTATTTTGTCTAGAATTAGAGTTAATTATAATAATTTCCTCTAATCGTATGCTTTTCCCTTTCTTCCTCTAAACACTTATTTCATAATTATGTTTGCAAGTTGTCAAGGGGAATGACTCCATTTTACCATTGTGCAGGGGCCTGGGGGTTGAGACCTAGACAAAACAGATGTTGTACAAATGGTGAAATTTGTCTCTGTCAGAATCATGAAGACATGGCTGTTAACATGGCACAGTATCTACAAGATTAAAACAAGGAAGAGCCCAGCTGTGAATCGCTCCCTGCCTGGTGTTTGCAACTTAGTGAAACTCACTGACTGAGCTGTAAAGGGGTCAGATTAGTCCATGAGAATGGTTAGGTGTTCCTCTTAAGAATACTGATCAACTGTGGTGGTATGGTGTTCCCCAAAATATTGTGCACCCTAATAAACTTACCTGGGGTCAAAGAACAGAACAGCCACTAGATACAGAGGGTAGAAAATGGTGGCACTCACACCTTTAATCATAGCATTCCAAAGGCAGAAATCCCTCTGGTTCTCTGTGAGTTCAAGGCCACATTGGAAACAGCCAGGGATGGTGACACACACCTTTAATCCCAGAAAGGGAGCCTTTAATCCCAGGGAGTGGTGGTAGGAGGCAGAAAGGTATATAAGGCGTGAAGACCAGAAACTAGAAGCATTTGGCTTGTTCTGCTTCTCTGATCTTCCAGCATTCACCCAAATAACTGGCCTCAGGTTTGATTTTGTTAATAAGACTCTTTAAGCTTCATGCTACAATAAGTGGTCTTGTGAAGTAAATCCCATATACATGGAGGTGGCCTTGGGGTACTCTTTTTTATTTGAAGACACATCTGAATTTCTAGGGAGGAAATACATACTGGCCAACAACTTCTATATATAAAATCAAGAGAAACTATTTTGTAAACCCAAAATTTAATTTAAAAAATCCTCTTTAGAAATCAGTAAAGTGAATACTGCTGGGGAGGGGGCACTGTTAGGATATCAAGGCTTATCTGACCTGTGAATAAAAATTCCTGTATAGAACTGCTCCTCACAGTTAACTGACTGTGAGGCTGATTAACTCATTAGACCTCTAGTGATTGTGGAGAGTTTGGAATGCTGTAAGTCCAGCCAGAGCCAAATCACTTTGAGCCAAACTTTACTCTCTCACCCTTAGTGGCCATTTATTGCTCTCTCCTGTATGTGAGCTAACGTTTTTGTGACCATTAGGTAAATCCCTTGGAATGTAGAAACAGAGCCCATGTTTCCATCAACCAAAATGCCATCCTATACCATCGGAGGGCAGTAGCTGAGGTCTCCCCATTTTGCTTTAACCCGTCTATCTGATGTACCCACCAATGCTTTTTGAAAGTGTCTCAATTCATGACTTTGCTCATTCTGTTACCAAAACAATTTAATCAAACTTTTATTAAGTCAAACTCAGAGTGGCCTGACTCCATTCCTGGGCCAGGGTTTCTATATTTGGCTACAAAATAAACTATCTCTTATCTTTTTTGATATGAGAAATTTTGTGTGTGTGTGTGTGTGTGTGTGTGTGTGTGTGTGTGTGTGTGTGTGTATGTATGTATGTATGTATGTGTGTGTGTGTGTGTGTGTGTGTGTGTGTGTACATGACAGCACACGAGGCAGCACTCTACCCAAATGAATACAGAAACTGTCTTGGTTTACTTTCTATTTCTGTGACAAAGACAATTGCCAAATGTACCTGGAGAAGGATAGGGCTTATTTCACTTACAGCTTATAGTCCATCATCCAGAGGAGTGAGGGAGACTCAAGGCAGAGCCCTGGAGGCAGGAAGAGAAGCAGAGCCCATGGCAAATGCTGCTTACTGACTTGCTCTCCATGGCTTTCTCGGTCTCTCTTGCACCACTGTGGGCCACGGGTGGCAGTTCCCCCAGTGAGCCTGGTCCTTGCATTCAAGTCATCAATCAAGAAAATATCCCCACAGCCTGCCCACAGGCAACTGAATGGAGGCATCTTCTCATTTGTGCTTCTTCTTCTAAGATAACTCTAGCTTGTGTCAGGACACACAGCCAAGCAGGACAGGGACAGAAAGCTCCAGGTGCAGGTATCTGCTCTGTGCTCTATCCTCGTGTTAGGGCTCTTCAACAAATGTCTGACGTAGAACACGGCCATTGACATCCTGGTGTCAGTCTTCTAGAATTTCCTCCCCCTTACCAATCTTTCTGTTCTCATGGCCAACTCTATATTGCAGCTAACAAGAGAAGATATGGAAAAAACTATGGATGCACCTGAGACCGGGGCTCCACTGCCTTGTAACTGGAAAGACAAACCATAAAATCTTTCCTCATTGATTTAAAACTCATTCATCTGCTCTACAGAAAACTCTGATTTCACTGTCTTCCTCCCGGTGTGCGTCTCCACCCAATAGTCTCAGGAAAGGTCTACAAGTACAGAAAATGGAGAGACCCTCAGGAACCCTTTGAAATCGTCTCATTATTCCCATGCTAACGTGATATTTTTAGTAGTTTGAATTAACACTGGGCATCAGAGGAAAAGCAAGAAGAAAGAGGTGAACGAGAAGTTAATAGTGAAAGAATTCCATGTATCAGGCGCTCAAGAGGAAATGAGAGCGAGAAGACAGACTCACAACTGAATCAAAACATTGAAAGTTAATGCTAAGCAAACCAGTGTACAGAATTTTCTGTAACTTAACATGGATTGTAGAATTCTTACAGTGAAATTTTTTCAATATATTACTAGAAGTTTGGAAATATCCCGATATTTAAGAGGCTGTTTGGGGGCATCCTGGTTGTTTCACTGAAAAGCATCTCAGTACTTTTAAATGCTTGCATACAGACTCAGACTAAAGATGGCGTATTAATTATTGATGATCCAGGTATTCTGCAGCTTTCTAGGCGATGGAAGCTCAATGTATGCTTTAGTAACCTTTTTAATGAATACACCAACATGAATAATAAATCCAGCTTCCCTTAATATGCATGCATGATTTTCAGAATATTTTCAAGGACAAGGACTTGCATTTTTATACAAAATATTGTAGCTTGGAACTGTATCATCCAAGCATGTCAAAGAATTACCACTAATTTGTGGAGTTAAACAAGTTGAACACAGAAAAACAGGGCAGGATAGTAGGCTGCAAGAGCTTGGATGTGGGGAGGAAAGACTTTCAAGTTAAAAAGAAAAAGAAAATTGATGATATCCCATGGTGATGACAGTTAACAACACTGCCCTGTACATTTGACATTTTCTAAGAAATAGCTCTGGGGCTGGAAAGATAGCTCAGTAGTTAAGAGAACTTGCTGGTCTTGCAGAGGACCTGGGTCCAATTGCAAACACATATATGTTGGCTCGCAACCATCTACAACTCCAGTTCCAAGGAATCCAAGGTTGATTCTGTCCTCTGCAGGTATCAGGCATGCTTATGGTGTATGGACATACATTCATATATGCATTCATACAGGCAAAGCACCCATGCACATAAAATAAAACAAATAATAGATCTTTAGGATTCCGAACAGAAACAACAAAAAGGTACCAAGTAAAATGATGGGCACATTAATTAACTTGACTATGGCAATCATTTCACAGTACTGAAGCTTATAACATCAAGAAATTTTACATTTTAAATATACACAGTCTTGTCAGTTCTATCTCAACAATGTCAAAAGTAACATACAGAAAAATACACATGGACTAGCACAAGTTATGTTCTAGACAGAGTTGACAACTATACAAATGCAGTTGTTCTTGTTTTTGTTTTTTTACAAGCAAAAGTTGATTTCTAATTCTGTGGCCTGAGTGAAAGTAAGGAAATAGAGAAAAAAATCCCTTGGAAAGGTGTGTATGATTCTTATTTTCCAAAGTACTAACACAGTATCCTCCAAATTTAAATCTCCCATAAAGCTGTTCTGTAAGTATCCTATCAAAGCAAGAAAAAGAGGGGCTGGAGAGATGGCCCATGGGTTAAAAGCACATACTGCTCCTAGAGAGTATCTGTACCTAGTACCCAGGGAAGGCTGTTCACACAGAATTGCCTCCAACTCGACCTCCCGGGGACCTGATGACCTCTTCTGGCCTCCTCAAGTACTACTGTCATGAGCATACACACATACAATTAAAACTAAATTTTTTTTTAACAAATTAGAAAAAAAATCATGATAAACATGAAGATAAGGATACTTGAAACATTCTGTTGCCCTTTGCTTTGTAGATGAGTATTGATGGTGATAACTGGATACTAATACTCAAAAAGAACAATTTTTGAGTGGTGCAATGGGTGTTTGCAAGGATGCATCGAGTTCTTACATCTAACAAAACAAAAACTCACACTCTTTTGAGACATTTCATTCTTTGCCATAACTTGCTCCCAAAGCATGCTGGCCAAATGGACAGAAACAGTCACATGTGCCAGTTCAGAGCTAGAATGACATGCCTAAGGAACCAGAGAGGTTTCAGTTCCCATTATCCCTCAATCATCTCACAATGCTCAGTTCATCCTGAGAATGTGGTACTTACTCTTGGACTGCTCTGGCTATGGAAAGGGCCGTGGATCCAGTTTCATTAACGCTATCTAAGGTCACATTTGGCAGGTCATCATCGTCACTGTCACTTTTACTTTGTCTGGGAGATAGGCCTCGGGGGTCCATTTGTGCTGGGAAGAAAAGGCATATATAATGAATTAAAATTAGTGTGCAGAATGGAACTTCATGTTGGACCGACGTTGAGCATAGGCTAACTCTCCCGTGCATTTCCAACCAGCAGAATCCTAGACACAACAGGAATTAGTGTTTTATGCACTGAGCATTCACAGACAGCTTTTCCTTGTCCCTGTGATGAACACCATACCTACATTAGATCCCAAGCATTCCCTGTATGCTCTTAGAACAAAAGCCATCACTATCAATAAACTGTAACATTGCCAACTCAGTGTGGTCAACGCTAATTACAGAGCTCATGAGCAACTGTAATGCTCCATCCCCTGGCTTCTCTTCCTGCTCTCTTCTGCTGCCAGACTTCCAGCCAGGCCATTTTTCATTAGCACTTTCCCTGGAGGCTACAGGGCAGGAGGTAGAGGAGGTATTATTTGCTTCATGCTCTCATAGGAAGTTTAAAAAAGAACAAAATTGACATGATTTTTTTTTGGTCCTTTCTTCGGTGAACAGTTGTCTTATAGTTTATCATTGTCACAGGTGGAGCAGAGACGTCACTACATAAAAATGTCAGAGGTGAAAGTACCCAGCATTTCTAACATTTGCTTACATATGTTGGAAAGTATGCTCTCATCTCTATCACGACTACAGCCTCTAAAAAGATATTTCTACATCGGATTCTCTTCCAACCCTGAACTTTGTCAAAGTAAGATGCCGATCTTCTGCTCCTGTTGACCAAGGCCGTCTGAACATTTCAGTGAAAAATGTAGTGTAACATAACACCACATGGTTTGTAAAATTAGATTTTCTACCTTTTACTCCCTCTTTGAGTAGCTTTAGCAATCACTGACTAAAATTTCTTCAAATCTCACCTCCCTTAGATAATAAGCACACCTCCTCAATTGAAAATGCCCTTACTCAATTGTTAAAAATACATAATTCCAATCCACTCAGCTCTCATCCAGATCTTTACTCCTCACTGGAAAACAGAGGTTTGCAAAGCCACCATTGTTTGCAAAGGAAAGAAATGTACTTCAAAACAAGGTTACAATGACATTTGGGTACAATACATTTCAAATCAAGATTGCAGTGGCAGTTAGGTTCAAGCATATTTAAAATCAGGGTTAGAATGACATTTGGATATAATCAAGCAAAAGATACCTTTTATTTTTCAAATAAATTTTTGTAGCTATACCTCATGGACCTACAAGTAAATGCTGATATTTCATCACATTTCACCCAGGAACAGACAATTTGTGGTTTATACAATATTTACAATGTGGCTGGAGAAACTAACCCTAGGGGTCTCCACAGATTTCTAACTGAAGGGACTAGTACTCTGGTGGATGCTAATGTAGCTGACACATTTTCTGTCTCTAAGTCCATTCAAATAAAACTGTGCTTTGTGAAATGGGAATACTTGGTTAAATATTATATGAATTGATTCAAATACTCTAAAATACTTGTCTTTAAATATGGGTAAATTCCTCATTGATTTGTCCCCAGAGATTCTGGCAGTATCTGGAAATACTTTGCCTGTCAAGACTTGAGAGATGGGGTGCTATTGGGGACAGAAGAATGTTATTGCCATATTGTAGATAAGTCAAGGACATTGCTAAATGTTCTATAATACTCTGGATACTCAGCCATCCATACTAAAGAATATATCACTCCTAAATGTCAACTGTGCAAAGATTGAAAATTTTACCCAGAGAGTTAAGAGTTTAGACAAATGGAGGTGTTCCATGATATGACGTTCAGTTGAATAAATGTGTCCTAGTTTCGAAGTCAAGGAAATACTGATACACATTGGATTACCTATATTCTTTAGCCTTACCCTCAAATAAAGCCATTTATTCTCTTTGAATCAGAAAGCAAAGTCAACATTCAGTTGGCCAGAATTAACCATAGAGTTTTTGGAGGACCCAGATTGGGATAGAAAGACACAGGAAAGAATGGAGAGGGGCTTAGAAGTATTCTTGGGCCTTTTTGATCTGGAAGTGTGGAGAGGCAGGGTCAGCCCATCATTCCTGTTTGGATCTATCAGGTTTTAACCCCAATATCTGACTTCTGAGTTTTATTTAATAATAGAACAATCTGAGTATTCAATTGATCTGTTGTCCACTGTGTGGCAAGATCACGTGGTGGCTTCTAAAGCTGCCACTTCTCAGAGCTGCCATGGGTCACCAGCTTTTCCCGCCAGGTATGTTTTCAGTTGCAGTCTACCTGCAACAGCCACACCTTGGATTGCATGCCCTGGCCCCCACATCTGCAGTCACAGCCACCTGCTGGCTCTGCAGCCACCCAAGTCAGCTCTGTCACTAGCTGACAAGAGCCCATCACTATCTTTGTCATCCAGCTGGCTGGTGCCCTCCCCCACTGTGTCCTAGCCACACAGGCTTCTCCTACCCCATCTCCCCAAGTCCACTTTTCAGGTGGCTCACTCCCCTTCCCTGAATGGCACGTGAGCAGCTGCAGTTACCCTCAGCCAGGGTGTGCAGTACAGTGACAACCAGCTGCAACATGTTACTCTGGCTCTGGGTACCCTGAAGCACCCTAGATCCCTGCCCATACAGCCAAGATTCAAGAATCATCACTGCAGCTGACTACCCATGCACAGCTCCAATGTTGAAGCTATTTAAAAACTGAAAAGTTGGCAGAGCTAGTGAGATAGCTAGAAATTCTTAAGGGGGGGTATTAGGTTTTTTGTTTTTGTTTTTGTTTTTGTTTGTTCTTTAAAGTCTTTCCCATATTAAGAATGGGAAACAATATCACAGCAGGTGCAGGGAGTTAGGACTCTATATGACACATCTCCAATGGATGGTGTGAAAATGAAATATTAAATGAAGGGATAATCAACTTATCTGGGATTGACATAATATTGGTTATAATTATTATCAGTTTGATAATTCATGTTTTATGCTGAAAAAAGTGATTTAGTATCTGTTTCAAATATGAAATATTGACTGATAAAGATACAATCCTTAGAAAGACCTACTAATGAAACTAAGAAAAATATTCCCACACAGCCAGAGGAATTTAGAGCAGAATCCACTGCACCACTGAATTATGAAACTGAAGAGGAACAGCCCAAGTTATTAGAAAACCAACTTAATTTATTCTATTACCATACAAAATTACCACCAGATGATAGGCACCCAAAGGGTATGCAGAAGTTAACTGGGATCCTGTAGAAATGTTAGATTTGAAGAGATTTAAGAAAGCAGACATTTCATACGGCATGCATTCACCCTTTGTGAAACTCATGGGAAAGTAGGAATAGAATTATTCTAAAAGACTTGAAAGATTTAGCTATAGCAATATTTGAAGCCAGTCCTTATTTATGACAGAAAATATGGTGGAGAGAGGAAGCTAGGGTTAAAAAAAGAAAAAAACGGAGTAGGGCTAGAGGTATTGAAATTTCCCAAGACCAGTTTCTCTGTGAAGTCCAGTATGTTGATTTGCAAAGACAATTTAGATTTGATTATCATACCTTGGCTTTATGCCATATAGCAGCTTTGAATGTGTGGGACAGAGCTGAAGAATCAGTAAATAGGACTGAGTCATTTACTAAAATTATACAAGGCCTCAAAGAAGCCTTCACTGATTTTTAACAAAGATTGACTTTAGCTGTAAATAGAATGCTATCAGAGCCTGACTTTAGACAAATATTAATTGAATCTTTGTCTTTTGAAAATGCTAATTCAGGATGAAAAAGGGTAATTAAGCCTTAAGATCAGCACCCATAGATGAATGGATCTGAAATACAGCTGATATTGGATCTCACACTTATGATGATACTTAAACTTCTAAAAATTTTAAGAAAAATTAAAAGGTCAGATGTTTTAATTGTGGTAAATAAGGTCATCTGAAGGGACTGTAGGCAAGACACTCCTAGGAATAATATTGTTTCTAGAGATAATCCAAACAGAAGGCCCCAGGCTTCTGGAATATGCAGAAGGTGTGGTAAAGGCCAGCATTGAACTAATGAATGCAGATCAACATGGGACAAGCAAGGGAACCCATTGCCAATGGGAAATGCTTTAGGGGACTTCTCCTATGCCCCAGTGTCAAATTTGGTTCAATCATTCCTTGTCATCATTGGGGAAACTCCTCCACAGAGCAATTAAAAGATTTAACGCCTGTTGTTAAAAAACCATAATGCTCCTCTGGATGACAGAAGAGCTTCAGTTGATAAAATTCTCAGGAGAGACCATAAAACAACTTTTATAAATGACCAAAGACCAAAGCTAAAAATATGAATGAATGGCATTGCAATAGAAGGTTTATTAGATATAGGTGCAGATGTAACAATAATTTCACCAAAATTTTGGCATCCAGATTGGCCTCTTCAGCTTCTCATGATTGGAACTTTATTTCAAGTGAAACAAAGTACAAGGTAGGTTGAAAGTATAGGGCCAGAACGACAGGTAGACAATGTGAAGCCACATGTGTCTAGCATAGCAATGAATTTATGGGGACATGATTTATTACCGTAATGGAAAACACAGATTAATATTCCTCCAATCTCAGAAATAAATCATAAAATAAATAATGCTTCTGAGAGAAATACTAAAAGGTATATTCAAGAATAGTCACGGATCATTCAGGTTGTACCTAAGTGGGGCACAATAGATGTTGATCTTTCAAAGGTACCAACAGCCCTATCTTTAAAATGGTTAACTGACAAACCTGTCTGGATGGAACAATGGCCTTTAACATGAGAAAAATTATAGGCACTAGAGCAGGTGGCATATGAGCAGCTAAATGTTCAACATATTGAAGAACTGACCAGACCTTGGAATTCTCCTATAGTTGTCATTAAAAAGAAATCTGAAAATAGAGAATGGTAACAGATAAGAGAGCAGTTAATAAGGTGATCCAGTCAATGGATATTTTACAGCCTGGAATTCTGTTCCTTTTTTTTTTTTATTACCTGAAGGATGTTCTATTATAGTGATTGATTTAAAAGACTGCTTTTTTTTTTTTTTACTATACCTTT